GAACGGGCTCGTGAGATCAGCCAGGGTGGCTCCCCCTTGGGGCTCCCAAGTGATGCCCCTGGCAGCGTTTTGTGACATGAGGCTCTCAAGAGATACATGTTGGGGAGGCCAAACGGCAATTCTAGCTGAGGCGTCCCACCAAAATCGGCGCGAACGGGCTCGTGAGATCAGCCAGGGTGGCTCCCCCTTGGGGCTCCCAAGTGATGCCCCTGGCAGCGTTTTGTGATCATGAGAGAGTGTGAGTGTGAGCTTAACTTATCTTATCTTATCTTGAAATATATTCTTATCATATCTTGTGCTATCTTATCTTATCTTGTAGTATCTTATCTTGTCTTGTCTTATCTGGTGATTATCATTGGGAGGAGGGAGGCGCGAGCGGGAGGAAGGAGGAAGGAGGAAGGAGGAGCAGTGGGAGGCGTCAGAGTAATAACAAGAACCCCAATCCTTAGGATATGGGGAACAAAAACCCCAATCCTTCGGATATTGGGGGCGCCAAACCGGCAATTCTAGCTGAGACGTCCCACCAAAATCGGCGCGAACGGGCTCGTGAGATCAGCCAGGGTGGCTCCCCCTTGGGGCTCCCAAATGATGCCCCTGGCAGCGTTGTGTGATCATGAGAGAGTGTGAGTGTGAACTTAACTTATCTTATATTATCTTGAAATCTCTTCTTATCATATCTTGTGCTATCTTATCTTATCTTGTAGTATATTATCTTGTCTTGTCTTATCTGGTGATTATCATTGGGAGGAGGGAGGCGCGAGCGGGAGGAAGGAGGAAGGAGGAGCAGTGGGAGGCGTCAGAGTAATAACAAGAACCCCAATCCTTAGGATATGGGGAATGTTTACCACTACTACTACTACTACTACTACTACTACCACTACTACTACTACTACTACTACTACTACTACTACTACTACTACTACTACTGCTGCTGCTGCTGCTACTACTACTACTACTAGTACGACTACTACGACTACGACTACGACTACTACTACTACTACTACTACTTCTACTACTACTACTACTTGTATGTTTACTGTTATCACTACTACTACTACTACTACCACCACTACTACTACTACTACTACTACTTCTACTACTACTAAGGTATACTACTACAAGCTGGGAGGCGATATACTACTAAGGTATACTACTAGTACTACTTGTATTTTTACTGTTATCACGACTACTACTACTACTACTACTACTACTACTACTACTACTACTACGACTACTACTGCTACCACTAACCAACTACCACTACTACGACTACTACTAACTAACTACTACTACTCTACCACCTACTCCTAAACTAACTACTAAACCTACTACTACTAACTACTAACTACTACTACACTACTACACTTACTACACTAACTACTACGACTAGACGACTACACGAACGACTACGACTACGACTACGACTACAACTACTACTACTGCTACTTGCTGCGGCTGCTGCTGCTGCTGCTGCATGCTAGCTGCTTGCTGCTAACTACTACCAACTACACTAAACGACTAACTATACACACTACAACAACTACTACTACTACTACTACTACTTAACTACTACGACTACTACTACTGCCCTGCGCTGCTCGCTGCTGCTGCTGCTACTACTACTACGAACTAACTACGAACTACTACACTACTACTACTACTACTACTACTACTAATACTACTACTACTACTATTACTCTACTACTAGTACAACTACTACTACCACGACGACTACTACTACTACTACTAGTAGTACTACTTGTCTTTTTACTGTTATCACTACTACTACTACTACCACTACTACCACTACTACTACTACTACTACTACTACTACTACTACTACTACTACTACTACTACTACTACTACTACTACTAAGGTATACTACTACAAGCTGGGAGACGATATACTACTACGATATACTGCTACTAGATTCGGGTCGGGCGTGCGCCTCCAAGGAGGACATACAGTGTTAATATGCCTCCATGCGTCCCAGGCGCGGCTCCGGGGGAGGTGCCGCCTGGGCGCCGGCGCCGACGCGGGCGCGCTCCCCGCGCCGCAGGACTTCGCGTGCGAGGAGGCAACGATGACGGTAACGATCGTTGTCGTTTATCGTTGATCTTTTTCGTTGATCTTTGATGTCGTTGGTCGTTATTGATCTTTATCGTTGATCGTTATCATTATCGTTGACCGTTGATCGTTATCGTTATCGATGTCGTTGTAGTAGACTCGGATGAGGAGAAGGCAACTTGTCCATCTAATTTTTGCCCCCTGGGAGGCCATCGTCTCCACCGCTGGATTCGCCTCGAAATTGTAGTCAGAAGGCTCGTCGTCGTCTTCGTGCGACGACGACGACGACGACGACGACGACGACGACGACCCCCTCGTTCCTTAGTATGCGTCCCGCGTACAATTTGCCGGCGCAAATCGTTTACTATCCCCCCACGGCCCCGAACTTTCTTATCCCCCCCTGTGATTCTCTGGGGTCCTCTGTGAAGCTTTCTGGCCGCCCAGGGACAGGCGCCCCCGATGGCGGAACTGGTTCGGACGGGTCTGGAATCGAGAAACAGCCGTCCCAGATCGTTCTGGAGCGCTCTCAGAGCGGTCCGGAACGCTTCGAAGCAACGGTTGCGGCGTCCGACACGTCCACCAAACCCGCCGATCCTCAGAGACGTCTCATTTACACCAGGCCAGTTTTCTCTCGATTCTGCCTTCGTCTTGGGAAGTGTTTGTTGTGCACCGCGCTTCGCCCGCAAGAGGACGTCGGCCGGCTGGCGAGCCTGGCGCTGAGCAGCGCGGGCGTGGCCGTTGCGCTGGGCGCGGCGGCTGCGGCGTTGGGCGGGCGGAGGCGGCGCAGGGCGGCCGCGGCGCAGCTGCACCGCTGGCTGGGCCCCGTGGGCCTGGGCAGCGGGAGCTCCGCTATTCGGGCCGGACGAGAGGGTATGGGACTCGGAGTCGTGGCTGAAGGGACGGGGGCCAGTACAAGTGGGGGTCACGCCAGAGCGCCGGATCTTGCAGGATCCTGCAGGGCCAGGGTGGCACTGACCCAGGCTTGGGTGCAGGATCCTCCAGGGTTCTGCAGGATCCTGCAAAGCTTGACTGGCCCTGGTCTGGATTGACCCAGGCCAGCAGATGCCCAAGGAAAAGGGCAGGTTAGCCAGCCCGGGCGTAGGAGGAGCTAGTGGTAGGAGGTAGGTGGGATGTTGATTGTGATCGTTGCAGCTCTGGCGCAGCACATTTTTTGGCTCCAGTCTGGAGGGCTGGCAACGGCCAATTTCCCTTTCCATCTGGTGAGCAGCCTCTAGTATAGGTGTATCCGCGAAGCCTGCAAAGCGAGGGGGGGCACGACATCTGCCGCATGCAGCCGGTTTCGGCCCCGCCGACGGGCCAAATCCGCGATACATGGGCGCCTCCCGCATGGGCGCCTCCAGGCGCCAGGAGGCGCCAGGAAAGTTGGCTACGTGAGCTGATTCTCAGCCCTACCCTTTGCTATCCTACCCTTTCGTCCCCCCCGAGCCATTGTCGCCACGCCCTTTCAGGGGTCGGGCTTCGGCGCCGAGGTTTCAGGCGTCAGCCTTGCCGACTTCATGGAGCCTGCGCAGGCGCGACAGCTGAGGCTCCTGGTAAGTCGGGCCTGTCCCTGCACAGGAAGAAAATTCAAAAATTGTTATGAAAAAACAGTCTGGGGACGATTTTCTGATTATTTTGACTACCATGAGCATGTTTTATTTGTTTTATTTTCCATTTTTATTATTGACTGTTTAAACTGTTTTTGATTATTGTTGACCATGTTGTATCTCTCGTCCAAAATCCGCCTATAGGGGACATGCCCGACCGAAGGCTCCTGCTCCGCGAGCACGGGGTGCTGCTGTTCCGGTCTCAGCACGGACTCGCCGAGCCGGACGTCCTCGACGCGGCCTCTGTGTTCGGCGAGCCGGTGCCCTCTGCAGGCATGGAGCTGCCGCTGGCGTACTACGTGGTGAAGGTCGGGATCCCGCAAAGGTCATGGCGCCAACATCGCAGAGCGGATTTCGTTCGGAAAACAATGGGATGGGCCCGGATTCTCTTGGTGAATGTCGCTCCAGATTTCGAAGTGAATTTCGTGCGGATCTTTCTTGGTTCCAGAAGCGAAGGGTTCAGAAAATCCATCTGAAATTCAACTCGTTTTTCGATCGCCGTTTCGGGGTTCTGCATCGACGGAAATCTACGCAAAAATCTGCTGCAGCACGTCTGCAAGGTCGGTGCAGTGACCAAGGGGGTGTGTGCCCCTGTGTGTGTGTGTGTGAGTTCGATCGCTGTTCTCACCGAGCCGCCCAAAACAGATGCCCCCCAGCCGCGGGCAGCTCCCGATAGTTGCGGATCGCTGGCTCACCAAGCGCGTTTCACGACTCGCAGAGTGCTTACTCGCACACGTCCGAAAGACACATGTCTGCATCAGCGGAATGTATCGTAAATCCCACAGGACGGATCCAGGCCATTTGCGAGTACTTCCTCTGCGAGTAGTGGAGCGCGCTTGTCTAGTGGGGCATGCGGGGGGCATCTGTTTGCGGCAGTTCGGTCCACCAGCGGATCGATCTCGGGCCCCCCTCTCAGGGTCACCCCCCCCTTTTTGTTTGGGGGCGGATCCCGAGAAGGACAGGAGCCCCGAGCTGCGGCCAGAGGACGCCTGGCACTCCGACAACTCCTTCATGTCTCTGCCCGGGGGGCCCACCGTGCTGTACGCCGTGAAGGCCCACGAGGGGAAGAAACACACGGACACAATGAATGGTCGATTCCCAGGAAAATTTATTTCGGAAAATGTGGGAAGTGGGGGGGACGACGAAAACCCCGGAAAAAATTGATATGGGGAGCCCGGGGATTCGCGTATATTTATTGCGAGTGATTTACGGCCGGCGCCGCCGACCCTGAAGGGGGACAAGACGACGACGACGACGACGACGACGACGACGACGACGACGACGACGGCGACGACGGCGATGACGGCGACGACGGCGACGGCGATGGCGACGGCGACGGCGACGGCGACGACGACGACGGCGGCGGCGGCGGCGGCGGCGGCAGAGGCGGCGGAGGCGGCGACGACGACGACCACGGCGCCCTCGTGGGTCAGAGTCCTCAGGGATGCTGCTTGGGGTCTTCTCGGAGTGCCCTCGGAAGCCTCTGGGGGGCAGTTTTCGGGCCCCTTGGGAGCACCTGTTCCTGGGAGCCTGTCGGGGCCTCCCGAGGCCTCCTGGGACCCTCTCGGGGCCGAGGGCTCGAAATGCTCGTTTTTGGTTCCCCCGTCAGGGCACCCTGTGGGAGACTCCTGGGGCGCCGGCGGCCGCTCAGGGGGTCTCGTGGAGAATTCTTGGGAACTTGTCCTCCTCCTCCTCCTCCTCCTCCTCCTCCTCCTCCTCCTCCTCCTCCTCCTCCTCCTCCTCCTCCTCCTCCGCCTCCTCCTCCTTCTTAGGGGGTCTCGTTGAGAGTTCGGGCTTCCGGGACCGCCGGGAACGTATCAGAGGGAAGGGGCTTTCCTTCGACTCCACTCCGGCGTTGCTCAATTTCGCTTCGGATGGCGCGCTTGAGGAGGAGGGCCCAGAGAAATGGAACGGAGGACGACGGAGACGACGACTCGAACGGAGAAGCCCGACACGAACGGGGAAGGCCCTCACAAACGCCGACAGGGTCGGCGGATTGTTGTGCCCACTTTAGCCCATTTAGAAGGTCTCGCCGAGGAGGAGGAGGAGGAGGAGGAGGAGGCGGAGTGCAGGTCCCGGTGAGTGCCGACGGCCAGCCTTTCGGGGACACCCTGTTCGCGGACGCAGCCGCGGCGGCGGACGGGCTCCCCGCGCCCCTGCGGCGGCGGGCGGAAGGGCGGCGGGCCGCGCACAACGCGGCCCACAACTGCGGCGTGGCCCTGTCCGAGTACGCCTCCGGGCAGAAGGAGTCAGAGGAGGACAACCTTGAGATCCTGGCGCTGCAATTCTTTCGCGCAGAATGGTAGGGTCTGGGGCTCTGGTTATGATTCTTTGTGTTGCAATGTTGAGTTTTTTTTGCAACAGTCGGATCTCAGGGAAGGTACCCATGCCGCTACCATTTACCCGTTTTCCCGCTGTTGCGGGCCTTCTGGGAGGCCATCGTCGCCACCGCCGGATTCGCCTTAACATTCTGGTCAGCAGGCACCCTGGGAGAGGTCCAGGGAGCAGCGGTATCGGTACTGTTTGGATCCCCCAGGAGTTGCCACCGGACGCGGAGCACCCGGTGCTGCGCCGCAACCCGCTGAGCGACCGCGAGGCCCTGTTCGTGTCACCCGCCTACACCCGGCGCGTGGTGGGGCTCCCCCCGGAGGCCTCGGCCAGTCTGCTCAGGGATCTGCTGGGGCATGCGACACGCCCCGAGTTCGTCCACAGGCACCGCTGGTGCGAGGGCGATCTCCTGGTGTGGGACAACGGGCGGGTGCTGCACAAGGCCACGACTCTGGAGATGCCGCCCGGCGCCGAGCGGGTGATGTGGCGGGTGCAGTCTCGCGGCCCCGGGATCGTCGAGACCCCCGAGGCGAGGATGCCGAGAGGCAGAAGAGGATCAGACGGATCTAAGTAGGAAAAAGATTCCTCTCGCCTCGCGGGGTGCACGTTCAGAAAGTGTAGAGTATAGGCATTTGAAGTCTCCTGGGGGGTTGTGGGGTCTTGGGGGCTTCTTGGCTACCTCTCGGGGGCCTCTCGGAGGCCTCTTAGGGCCTCTCGGGGGGGTCTCTCTCGGCAGCCTTGGGGTCCTCGATGGCCGGTTTTGGGGTCCATGGGGCCGTTTTGGGGGTCTGTTGGGCCGTCTTGGTCCCGTTTTGGTTTCTTTTTGGGGCACCTTTGAGGCTCTCTTGGGCCGTCTTGGGGCCCTCCTGGGGGCCTCTTGGGCTGTCTTGGGGCCATCGTGGAGGCTGCTGGGGCCGTCTTCGGGCGTCGGAAACCAGAAAAGGCGAGAACGCTAAACGCGCAAATTCCACTCAACCGCTACAATGTTGGCCTCTGGAGGCCCTCTCAGGCCCGACTTTCGGGGGTCGGGCATCGCCGGACGAAGACCGGCATGCGTAGGGCCGTTGGAGGCGACGACAGGGGCGACTATAGCCCAGGAGCGGGCACGGCGCGCATTCGCTGGGGAGCCTCGCCGAAGGCACGGACCATCGGCGCCCCTGGATACATTCAGGAGGGAAAAAAAACACACAGACACAATGAATCGTCCACTCCCAGGAAATATGGGAAAATATGGGAAGTGGGGGGGAAGACAAAAACCCAGAAAATACTTGAAAATATGGTGAATCCTGTTATTTGTCTATATTTCTTGTGTGTCCTTGGGCCCCCTCATATATGTCTTGAGAGTCGCCCCTGGGGACGCAGGCTCGCCAGCCGCCCTGGGGCGGTCGCCCTTCTCGCGGAGGCCTCCGCGTCCGCTCCTCGCCCGCCCGGGGGACAGGCGATCGCAAGCATGGATCAATCGGGGGCCCCCAAACGGTGTGGTGACCACACCGTGCGGTGAGTCGGTGGGGATTCGGGGTCACCGCACGGTTTTGGGACTCGAGCCCCTCTCCGAGGATGTCTCGGGCGATGGGGGCCTCCAGGGTCCCAAGACCGTGCGGTGACGGACCGTGCGGTGAGGTCTTGGGGGATTTCGAGGTCACCGCACGGTCTGTCACCGCACCCTTTTGGCTACAAAATCAAGGGGGCGTGGATTAGCGACGGGTCCTGTTTCCACAGGAAATCGCGGATTTCCGCCGCTGAACGAGGCGGCACCAGCCGCATTTTGGGGAGGGCACCTCCCCCGATCCATGGGTTTGGCGACCTCGCGCCAAATCCATGGATTGCTAATCCATGTTTGCGCGCCCCCGATCCGGGGTGCTGGGAGAATATCGGGGCGCACGCTCTCGGGGCGGCCAAGAGGGGGGTAGTGACTATAGGGGCGAAGTCGGGCATGTCCCTCTACAGGAGGACTGTTCCAAACTAGTCCTTGTGAGCATGTGTTTGACTATGTGCTGGCGTTTCTTCCAGAATCCGCCTGTAGGAGGACATGCCCGACCTGACGGGAAGGGGGCTGGGAGACATCCTGGCCGGGGCCATGCTGCCTCCCTGGGTGCCACGGCGCCTCCTCTCGTCTCGAGATGCGTCCCCTGCCCGCTCCCCCCCCGCCCTGAGCCGCGATTCGGGGGCCGCCCCTCAAGCAGTGGCGAGGCGCCCTGGCTCGCCTAAGGGCCCACCAGCGAGTGGTATGAGAATCCTGCACGAGGTGCTCTCAGAAGCCTTCTGGCTGAAGCTGTCTTGTTTGAACGCATCGGGTTCCTGCTCTGAGAGCACTGCTGCTGTCCTTCGGGCATCTCTGGGTTCTGAGAACCTGTCGTGGTAGGCCCATCGGAATGCCGGTACGGTCGGTCCCTGCTCACCCCGGGCCGGACGAAAGGGGAGGATTGGGAAAGGGGGGGTACGAAATGCGCTGCATGCAGCTGGTTTCGGCCCCACCGAGGGGCCCACTCCTCGATAATGCATAGCCGCCTGCTGCGCCGGGAGGCGCCGGGAAAATCGCTATCCGCCCCTTTCTCGGGTCTAGCCAGGACCCCGGTTAAGGAGAGCCGCTTAATGATTGGTCCCCGAAGCCCCAAATATGGATTGGAATCGCTAAACCAGGTCTGCCGTAGTTGTTGCTTTTCGGGTTACGGCAATTCTGGTTAGTGGAATGGGACGGGGGGGGCGCCCCCTGGTACACATCACTAAACCAGTTCTGCCAACGCCCGACTTTCGCCCGACCCGCTCACTCTTTTGGACGCCCCCCTCGTGGACGCTCCTGGCTCGCTCGGGCATCTGCGGCCTCGGGGGGGGCCCGGGCTGCCCCCCCTCGGCCCGCGGGAGAGGCCCCCCCCGGGCCGCAGAGCCAGGGTTTCGGGAGCTCCGCGGAGGCAGCCGCGCCGCCTTCCCGCGCCCCCCTTTCAGGGCTCGTTTCGATTCCGTCGGTTCGATTCGAGTCGACTTCGATGGCTTCCGATTCCGATTCGATTCGACTTGGGATTCCGATTTGGGTGACAACTTCTCATCTGGAGCATACTAGCCTGCCGATGCCCGCCGATTCGACTTCTCTTGACTTGGCTACCGATTTCCGCCGATCTGATTCATGCCGATCGCCGATCCGACTTGTCGATTCGATTCTAGGCTCTCCTGCCCTTTTGCATCCGGACAAAAGGGTAAGTCGAGCGTCCCCGAATACTTCGGGGGTGGACAGAACCCCCACCCTGACACGTCGACTAGTGCATTGTCCGTTTTCGGTTCTCGAGAGGGCTCCGCGGCCGTCATTTTCCAGGCTGGCGCCCGCCAGGCTTGGGCCCGAGGTCGTTTTCACTGAACCGCGTTTTGCTGGAGGGGGTCCTGTCCATCCCCGAATGCCGCGAGTGCCACTGCGGATTGCCCCTGCCGTGCTGCGGCGAACAAGTGCCCCCGCTGCTCCTTGGCGCCTCGCGAGGCGAGCCGCCGCTCGGGTTGCGGGCGGCTGCCTGGACGCCCTCTGCCGCGCACGCCCGCCGCGAGGCGAGGAGCCGCCCGCGCGCGTGCGCGCGAGCGGCCGCGCCTCGGCCAACCGCTGCCGATGCGAGCCTGGATCAGGCGATCGCAAACATGGAGCAAGGGGGCGTGGATTAGGCGACGGGTCCCGCTTCCGTGGGAAATCGTGGATTGCCGCGGGCGAGCGAGGCGGCACAGGCCGCATTTCGGGGAGGGCACCTCCCCCGATCCATGGATTTGGCGACCGCGCGCCCAATCCATGGATCGCTATTCGCTACTCCATGTTTGCGCGCCCCCCAACTTGAGGTGCGCGTGGTTGCCGACGGAACCCAGACCCCCTCGCGTTACGACAGAAATCACGCCGGGAGGTTTTTGGCTATTTTCAGCCTGCGGGGGCCCTGCCCGGGCCTCGCGACTGCCAAAAAACGACTCAGGATGAAAAACCGGTCCCCAGGAAGGGGTCCAGACCTGTGGGGTCCACGTTTTGAACGCTTTGAACAAAAATCACAACGTCGGGGGTCTGGGAAGAACGTACGCGTCCACGAACCCACGTTGGCTTCGAGAGGACGCGTTGCGCAGACGCTCGTATCATGCGGCGGGGCTCGCGGACCAGGGGGGGCCGTGCTCATGTGCACGTGGTTGGGCGCGTACGTCCTCTGTGCGCCCCCTTCTCCCCTCCCCCCCCGGGGAGGGCCCAGGGCCAGGCAGGCCTGGGCAGAGGACGCAGCGCTTGCCGGAGTGCTCCGGGCCGCCCTGGAACGGTCGCGGTGTGCCGAATGCACGAGGCTCTCTTGAGCCAAATGGCTACGGTCTTTCGGCTCCGCCGGTTGGAGGCTAATGCCAGCAGCTCCCGTCCCCTCCCCTCCCCCTCCTCCTCCTCCTCCTCTGTGCCACAGGGCCTCCTTCGCGCTTGTAAAAAGTGCCGAGTGCACGAGGTCCGCCTGCTCTCGGAGATTCCCGAGTCATCTCGGCCTGGTGTTTACTTCCCGCCGTATTCGTCTTCCCCCCTTGGCACGCGGGACAATTTGCCGATGGGCTGCCTCGCTTGGCCCCGCGCTGGTGCGGACTGCCTCCGCCTCGCCGCCGACGAAAGAACGACTTCTTCCCGCCCTCGTCTCAAGGCGGCCCAGACGGCGCAAGTGGGCCCGAGACGCCCTCCACGGACGGTCCAGGAGCGCACCAAGGAGCACCCGGGGCGAGGCCCGCCCAGCCATTGCACAGGTGGCGAGCGCGCCCCGCCGTCTGCAGCAGCCGCGCAGGGCCCCCGGGGAGGCCACTCGGAGCACCCGAGGGGCTCCAAGACGCTCCACCGACGGTGCAGGGGGGGCCCAGGGAGCCCCCATGGACACCTCGGGACGGACCTCGCTCCTCCCGCTCCGTCCGCCACGTCCACCTCCTCGCCTTCCGCACCTCTCTCTCTCCACCTCCACCTCTTCCACCTCCTCCGTGGTCCCTCCCCCCGCCTGACTCCTCCGCCGTCCTCCTACTGGTTCCCTTCGCACTCCCCGCCTCCTCCTTCTCTTCATCCTCCCTACTCCTCTCCACATGGCGGCCTCCGACCCTTCGCTCTCCCTCCTCTTTCTCCTCCTCTTCCTCCTCCTCCTCCTCCTCCTCCTCCTCCTCCTCTTCCTCCACTTGTTGGTCCAAGCTTCGTTTGCACTGGCCCGAAGCGAACAAAGAACCTCCCTCCTTCACCATGCTCCCCTCCCTCCTTGGTCTCTTGCCTCCCCTCCTTCCCCTGTCGTCCGTGCTCTTCCCCGAGGCTCTCCCAGTCGCTGCTTCGGTTGTCCTCCACGTTCCCGGGAGCGGGGGAGGAACTCGTGGCACTGCGTCGCCCGGCTCCCTGTGGTTCTTTCGGCCACGGTCCGTCCGGGCAACAACTTGGGCTACCTCTCTCTCCTCTTCTCTCGCCTCCCCCTTCTCCTCCTCCTCCTCCTCCTCCTCCTCCTCCTCCTCCTCCTGCTCCTCCTCCTCCTCCTAGCCGCTCAGCGGTCAAGAGAACACACACTTACGCGGCTACTGTACATGTCAGGGGTGCACCGTACTGGATGGCAGCGGAATGTTTCGTTGATCTCGT